TCTTCCAGAAAATAGAAGCAGAAGGGATATTTCCAAACTCATTCTAAGAGACCAGCATTATCCTAATACCAAAACCAGAAAAAGACATTATAGGAAAATGACAGACCAACATCTCTTGTGAATATAGATAAAAAATCCCCAGTGATCAAGCTCTATTACAAAGCTGTAATCATCAAGACAGTATGGTACTAGCACAAAAACAGACACATAGATCAATGGAACAGAATAGAAAATTCAGAAATGGACCCTCAACTCTATGGTCAACTAATCTTCAACAAAGCAGGAAAGAATATCCAATGAGAAAAGGACAGTCTCTTCAATAAATGGTGTTGGGAAAATTGGACAGTGACGTGCAGAAGAATGAAACTGGGCCATTTCCTACACCATACACAAAAATAGTTTCAAAATAGATGAGAGACCTAAATGTGAGACAGGAATCCATCAGAATTCTAGAGAACACAGGCAACAACCTCTTCGACCTCGGCCACAGGAATTTCTTGCTAGACACGTCGCCAAAGGCAAGGGAAACAAAGGCAAAAACGAACTATTGGGACTTCATCAAGATAAAAAGCTTTAGTACAGCAAAGGAAACAGTTGACAAAACCAAAAGACAATGGATAGAATGGGAGAAGATATTTGCAAATGACATACCGGATAAAGGGCTTGTACCCAGAATCTATAAAGAACTTACCAAACTCAACACCCAAAGAACAAATAATCCAAGAAATGGGCAGAAGACATGAACAGACATTTCTCCAAAGAAGACATGCAAATGGCCAACAGACACATGAAAAAATGCTCCACATCTCTTGGCATCAGGGTAATACAAATCAAAACCACAATGAGATTCCACCTCACACTGGTCAGAATGGCTAACAAGTCAAGAAACAACAGATGTTGGCAAGGATGCAGAGAAAGGGAAACCCTCCTACACTGTTGGTGGGAATGCAAGCTGGTACAGCCACTCTGGAAAACAGTATGGAGGTTCCTCAAAAAGTTGAAAATAGAGCTACCCTACAACCCAGCAATTGCACTACTGGGTATTTACCACGGAGATACAAATGTAGTGATCCAAAGGGACACCTGCACCCCAATGTTTAGAGCAGCAGTGTCCACAATAGCCAAACTACGGAAAGAGCCCAGATGTCCATTGACAGATGAATAGATAAAGAAGATGTGTGTGTGTGTGTGTGTGTATGTGTGTATATATATATACACACACACACACACCATATATATATACACACATATATACATATATACACACACAATGGAATATTATGCAGCCATCAAAAAATGAAATCTTGCCATTTGCAATGACATGGATGGAACTAGAGGGTTTTATGCTAAGTGAAATAAGTCAGTCAGAGAAAGACAATTATCATATGATCTCACTGATATATGGAATTTAAAAAACAAAACAGAGGATCACAGGGGAAGAGAGGAAAAAATAAAACAAGACGAAACCAGAGAAGGAGACAAACCATAAGAGACTCTTAATCATAGGAAACAAACAGGGTTTCTGGAGGGGAGAGGGGTGGAGGGATGGGGTAACTGGGTAATGGACATTAAGGAGAGCATGTGATGTAATGAGCACTGGGTATTATATAAAACTGATGAATCACAGGCCTGTACCTCTAAAACCAATAATACATTATATGTTAATTAATTGAATTTAAATAAAAAAAAGTTTAAAAAAATCCTCAGTGAAATGATAACAAATTGAATCCAACCATGTATAAAAATAATTTTGCACCAGGACCAAGTGGAACTTATTCCAGGTGTGCAAGGCCGATTCAACATTACAAGATCAGTATAATCCTAACACATCAATAGGCTAAAGAAGAAAAATTACATTATCAGATGAATAGATGCAGAGAAAATATATGACAAAATTCAACATTCTTTTATGGTAAAAAAAAACTTTCAGAAAACTAGGAATAAAGGGGAATATCCTCAACTGGATAAATAACACAAAAAAACCTAAATCTAACATCATAATTAGTGGTGAGAAACTTGAAGGTTTTGTGTGAAGATCAGGAATAAGACTAGGATGTCCCTCGTCATCACTCATTTTCACCGTAGTACTGGAAATCTTAGCTAATGAAATAAAACAAGAAAAGGAAATAAAAGATATAGATTGGGAAAGAAGAAAAACTGTCTTTGTTCACAGAAAATATTATTATCTATATAGAAATTACAAAATAGGCGTGCCTGGGTGTCTCGGTTGGTTAAGTGTCAGACTCTTGATTTTGGCTCAGGTCATGATCCCAGGGTCCTGGGATTGAGTCCTGCATCAGGCTCCTTGCTCAGTGGGGTGTCTGCTTCTCCCTCTGCCTGCCGCAGCCTCTGCTTGTGCTTGCTCTCTCTCTCTCTCTGACAAATTAATAAATAATTTTTTAAGTTATAAAAACAAATAAAAATAAGTTTATCTAAAAGGGAAAAATAAACCAATTAACTAACAACAAAAAAACCCCCACACAGATAAAATACAGATCTTTAGCCTTAACAAAGTGACCCTGTACCTTTGAAACCTTCGTTTCTCAATTTTCCATCACACATTTCTGCTCTAGCCAAAGCAGCCTATTCAAGGTTCCCCAAATAAATCTGTCCTTTCCCACTATCATCCCAGCTCACAATATCTTCTCTCCCTCTCTCAAGGTCCTACACCTTCCTAATTTGTCCTCTCTAGAAGTGATGTCTCCAGCCTCTGAAGCCCCCTGTATTTGTGCCAATCATCTGGCTCTTAGCATTGGCTACCCCGTGGTATTAGATAGAGCATATGGTTTTTATATATGTGTATTAGCTCTCTGGTATGCACATACTTTTAGGACAAGGACCTTGCCTTATGATTTGTGGCATCTCCCTCAGACCTGGTTGTATTTAAGAATTAAATCAAAGCATCAAAACCTGCATTAAAATTTCATTAATGATAAGTGACGACAAAACCTGCACACTGGGAGATGCATCTCTTAGTTCCTCAGTGTCACAGTGTCACCAGTGGAAGTCATTCCAAAGCAGCATTCAGAGTCACCTTCTGATCTTCAAGGAGCTGGACTCCTGGGAATTATTATTCCTGCCTTGGTGGTTGAAGGTCTCAGGCCCCTCAGTGTTAGGGAGTGACTTTAGTCTGGAAAACCTTACATGGCTGTTACCAGAAAGGCCAGCCCTCTCTATACTCAGCTTTAGGAAGAGTGAAAATGGACCCACTTCCAAGATAATGATTGGAGAGCCTTTTCCTGGGCAGGAAGCTGTCAGCTCTGTCATCTCTCTTATTCTCTCAGAGCACTAGTGCATTGATTCTCAACTGGGTATAATGGAGAATGTCCAAATTTGATGGTGGTGGTGGGAGAGGGTATCACGAAAGCTTCTCAGTTGGCCCCATGTCCCACTTCCCCACTCAGCCCAACCATGCCCACACTGATTGAGAACCGCCATTCTAATAGTTAGATGTTTAGTACAAGGGTACATCTCTCCTCCTAACTATGTATATTCTAGCGGGGAAATCAGATTCTTTTTAGTGTACCCTAAGTATACAAACATTTCAGGTAAAAAATACTTTACCTTTACCCCAAATTATCTGAGCCATGATTTCAGTCTGATCATTTTGTTATAACTGTTCCAACCTTAAAGTATTCAACCTTAGAGGATTCCACAGCTCCGCCTTGTTCTGTAGAGAAGTCTATGTGTCCATAAAAATACACACATTTCTTTGTCCTTGTGAGTGTGAATAATTATATGGGATTTTGATAGCATGTGTACTATATGTATTGTGCATGCAGGTACATGCATAACATACTAATTGAATTGTTCTAAAAAACACAAATATTTTGCAGGACTACAGAAACACACACTAAATATCTAAATCTACAAACTGCTGACAAACAGCACCTTTTCTAACAAAAGAGAGCAGTTTAATAACAGTGTTAGAAAGCTGGCAATATGTTTGTTAAAATCTTTAATTAGGGACAGGCTTCCCAGAGGCCTCTGAAGGCAAAAGGTGTAAATGGAGAAACTGTCCCAGCCTGCATGCTCCATGGTGGCTCTGTTCCGAGCACAGATGGGCTGGTGAGGAAACTGTGAATGGACAAATGATAACAGACTATTCTGTCATTCCAACATCAGCTCATTAGCAATCTGTCAGAGATTTAATATGGATACTGGTGAAAATGCAGAAATCACATGATCGTTACACGAGTGTACACGTGTACGTGTACTGAAAGGCCATTGTAAATTGATTGGCATAATGGCTATTAATAAAATGATAATGTCATGGGAAGTACATTGGATGCATTGTGCTCTTGTTGGAAAATGATGATTTTGTGTGCTCTTCGGCCATCACAGGAAGCTGAGATAACAATAGTTTTATTATGGAAATCATTAATAAATAAACAGCTAGACCAGCATGGTGGGATATGTGAGGGATATGATACCATACAGGTTTCCAAAGAATGAACAGTGACATGGGCGCCTGGGTGGCTCAGTCGTTAAGTGTCTGCCTTCGGCTCAGGTCGTGATCTCAGGGTCCTGGGATGGAGTCCCACATCCGGCTCCCTGCTCAGCGGGAAGCCTGCCTCTCCCTCTCCCACTCCCCCTGCTTGTGTTCCTGCTCTCACTGTGTCTCTCTGTCAAATAAATAAATAAAATCTTTAAAAAAAAAAAAGAATGAACAGTGACATTTCTCAGTTCTTAAAAATACTCTGTCAACAACATTAAATTCCCTTGGTTCACAAACCTGGTTTCCAAACGATGTTAAACTTGCTAGTTAGTGAGTTCAAATATTGCCTTTGAAAATATATTTTAAAAAGGAAAAGAAAATACATTTGTTTACATTGTATATACACAACAGGCTAAATCTGATGGATAATCAATGTTTGGTCTTTGAAGGAAGAAAGAGAATGAATATTTATAGAGCACCTATTATATGTCAAGTACTTTACATTTGTGATCTTAATTTAATTTTCACAACAACCTAATGAGATATTTTCCCCATTTTACAGGCATAGAAGTAACTAAAAAATAAATATGTGTCTGAGCCCCAGCAAGATTATGTGACTTCATAAAGATAGTATGGCTGGTAAGTGGCTATGATTCTATTGAACTCAGTTAAATATGGTTCCAAAGCTCATCTTTTTTCCACTGCATTATACTGCCTCTCACAGTGTCTGTCATGTACTCCAGGGAGTAACCTTTTAGGATCATTATTACTTCCTATGGACAGGCTCAAGGGCCCCAGAGATTCAGCTGGGCAAAACTTAGATAAAGCCCAGTGTTAATGGCACAAATGGACACTGACTTATTTGAAATATATACTTTTAAATTTCTTTTAGGGGGATATTTGTGCTTTAATATTGGGACATTTTTGCACACAACATAAGGAGTTAGACTAATGATTTATAAAATTTAGCCAAAAAACTCTGCAAGAGGGCATATACTATATGATACTAGTTATATAAAGCTCAAAAACAGGTCAAACCAATTAAAACTGTTAGAAATGAGAATGGTAGCTATATTTGGGGAGAATACTGGCTGTAACCTGGTGCCAGGGGATATCTGGAGTTGGGGTATTTTCTGTTCTTGATTTGGATGCTAATTTATACCAGCATGCTGAGTTAGTAAGCTTGTGATTTGAATACTTTCTTTTATGTATATCATACTCAATAACATTTACCCCCCCAAAATGGAAGACAACCTTTTTCCCTTATAATGATTGAAATTGGATGCCTACCTGTTTTCCATATTTTGTGACCTTGGGCAAAATTGTTCTTTACATGAAGCTTACAGTTGGAAATCTCTTTCTGGATGGGGTTGGGAGATTATAAGTAGGGGAATGTGTGCCTGCCTTTGTTCCCATGAGTGAGTGTATGTATACTTTCTTAAGTGCACTCATATCTCGGAAATGGAGAAATACCTATATTCTTTCTTATTTTCATTTCTCAAACTTTAGGAAAACTCGGAAACAGAATGCCAGTCAAATGTGAATTTTATACAAGTGGAACTTGGGGATGGAGCTGTCTTGTTTGGTGATTCTTTGTTGGCAGCAATCTCCCTATGCAAATGGCAGTGGCAGGCACCCTCCCCTCTCAGGAACCAAGATGTTAAATCCACTCTTACCATGTGTCTTTGCCCCATCCCTCCTCAACTTTTCTCATTGCCAGGCTCAATGGAAGAGCCAAGGGGTTGTTTGAAGAGGATTTATGCATCCCACAGACACCTGACAAGCTGATTCTAAGGGCCCTTGGACAGACTTACCCTGTTCACCCATGCCTCAGATGTCCTTCCTGCCTTGGGACATATACCTGTCTTCGTGACCCACTGTTTTTATCAACAAGATAACTACAAATAAGGTAGATTATTGAAATGCTGCATGGCATAGCCTCTGCCAAGATGAAGAGTTCACTTTTAGAACTTTATCTTAAGAAAATCATCAGACGAAAGATAAGTATTTGCAAAGACGTTTACTTCCTAAGGTGTGGTTTGAGAATTAGTAACATCAGTATCACTTGCAGTGCTTGATAAAATGCACATCCCTGGGTCTTATGCCTTTCTTATTGACGTAGAATCTCTAGATGTAGAGCACAGCCATCCATGTATTTAAAATACCTCAGATGATTCTTAGTCACATTGAAGTTTGATATACAGGGATGTGTTTTCAATGTAACTTAAAAGAGGAAGAAAAGGAAGGGATTTAATAACATTTTTGTTGCCAAATATGTGTGTAGGTGATGCCAGAGTATCAGCAGTGCTTATCTCTGGATGATATCCTTATTTTTCATTGCTTTCCTCCATATTTTCTGATTTTTTTTTTGCAATGTATCCCTTTTATATTCTAATAACTCAGTAAAGTTATTTTAAAAAAAGAAGGTATCTGATATTTGATTTCCTGGACAGGTTCCCCAAGTGTACTCTCCCAGTGAACTTCATAGCTGGCTAATTCAGAAGATAGCCCTGGCTGTCTGACCCTCTTAAGGTATGAAATATTTGGAAGAATCCCTCTGTTGGTCCACAGATCAGTCAGTATTGCCACTGGAGTAGAATCTTCTGAACACGGCGGTGGCTTTATGGCTACGGTTTTATTATATCACCAAGGTTTTTATTCATTAGAACTCGTGCTTTTTGTGGAGGATAAGAATGGTGAGGAGGCGGGGCGCCTGGGTGGCTCAGTCGTTGAGCGTCTGCCTTCGGCTCAGGTCATGATCCCAGGGTCCTGGGATCGAGCCCCGCATCGGGCTCTCCGCTCCGCGGGGAAGCCTGCTTCTCCCTCTCCCACTCCCCCTGCTTGTGTTCCCTCTCTCGCTGTGTCTCTCTCTGTCAAATAAATAAAATCTAAAAAAAAAAAAAAAAAAAAAAAAAAGAATGGTGAGGAGGGCTGAGAAATGCATTCTCTGATTTGGGGACGTGAATCTGGTGCTTGAGGAGAGACGGTCTGACTCTTGTTTACAGAAGGTTTGCAGTAACAGAAAAGAGTACTAAAGAAAGTAGCTGCATTCTGCTTTTTATGCTCTCATTCAGCCTCTTGCCCCTACAAGTGTCCTTTTCTTCTCTTCCTCCTCCCCCTCCTTCTCCGTCAGCTTGTTCTTATACTGAAAGAGAAGCAAAAATGGGATCCACTGAAAGTCTGGTACTTTGCCACTCAGACTACAATCTTGAGAATGCATTTTTCTTAATCCAATTCTGTTTTAAATGTTGTCAGGATGTACCATAATTGGTTGTGGTAAATGACACTGGAACCACATTGCTACTCACTCTGGAAATGGTATGAGCTCAGCATGCTGCTGATCAAATGCACTTCTGCATTAAAACTATTACAAGCGGAATATGCTCCGATGGGATTCTTTCCTCCTAATAGTTTTCCAGGGTTGATGCTGAAAGGGTTCTGTCAATCAAGTCTGAAAATCAGCTCAGCACCCTGACTTGGGTTAATAAAATGTAGCTGCCAGGCTCTCAGCTCAGAGGCCACTGTTCCTTGGTTCCGACATTATCAAGCCACGGTAAAAATGCCTCATTATAATTGATACTCACTGGTAATACACTTTTTTTTTTAATGCAAAGAATATCTCCAAAAAGAGTCTCTGCCTTACACACAGTCTGCTAAAAAAGAGACCCATATCAAAGAAAGAGGGCTAAGAGGAAGTAAGACAGGCAAATGCATTTTCACAAGTACCCTGGAGACAGGCTTGGGGCAGATTCTGGCTTTCCTGGGTGGCTTGGAGTCAAGATAATGCACCAAGAATCAATACAGAAGTAGGGATACAGCCCAGAATAGATGGTTGTGAAGGGGGCTCTGATAGCATTGTCACCAATAATGGGAAGATAAGAATTCCAAATGAAAAAATTATTTTAGTAAGGAACACAAGATGTCACAATGCAGAAAGGCTGTGACAACTGATATGCCAGTTAAAGGGGGAAAAAAGCTTCTTGAACCACTAAGGCACTGCCTGGCTGTGTAGTCCCCGCATCACCGAGTCTCAGTTCTTCCCAGACTTAAGACTTAGGATTCTGGGTCTCTTCAAACAGAAATATTATTCTTCTGGTTTCCTGGACAGAGGCACCCACACTAAAACAATCCATGTTAGAAGGACATTAGGGAGGTCAAAGTGCTGGAGAAAACCTTGCTGGATTTCAAACGAATTCTACTTTCTAGAAAGTTTCTGCTGGCTGCCCCTGAGGAGGAAGATGAAATAAACAAACAAAGCCTGGGGTGAGGGGCAGCTATTTCCAGCCTGGAATTCTCAGCATGGTGGAATACCGGGGAAGGTGTACAACAAAGTAGGAAACTGAGGAAGGAACATTACTAATTATACTTCAATACTGTTTATGTGAGGGTCTCTATTCAGAGGCAACTGGGATGATTTCACAGGAAGAGAGAAGAAAACAGTTTTTCATGGGTGGTAGAGCTATTGTTAGTGAAGTTTTAATGAGGCACTCTGGGCATGGTCTTCTTGGCACTTGGCACCAAAATGGCTCCGGAGGCTGTGGGGTCACATGACATTAACATGAGGGAACGCTTGACTTCATTCTGTTTGCTTCATGTTCCTCTCCAAACATTAATTGCCTGAGTTTCCCTGTTCAAGTGAAAAGAATAAGCATATGCAAATTTTTCACTTGATTGTTGTATTACACTGGCCTGTATTTCTTCCAGATGCATTTCTGTTCAGGTTGTATATTCTAGCACATTCCCCCCCCCCTCCGACCAAGTACAGGTGAGGAGCAGAGGCTCCTGCACTCCCTGTAGGCTGAGTTATGACTGGTGTCATAATTGGGGACTTGTGCTGTGCCTTGTACTAAGCTCTTTATAAATCTTATCTCTACCTGATCCCCACATAACCCTGTGAAGTTGGTAATGTTCATTTTATTCCCAATTTACAGAAGATTGAGTAAGAGGAAGGTTGAGTAACTTACTCAAAATCATCCAGCTAGTAAGTGGATTCTAACCTGGCCTGTCTGTCTACAAAGCTCCACTGCAGTGCTCTCTACCTTCTGGGATGATGATGCTCCATGCTTGAGCCGCTCCTGATGTGAATTTTTAGTGTCCTATATTTGGTAGGAAAGGATGCTCTGTTTCTATCCCTGGAGCAAGTCCTGGGTTACTCTTGGAACCAGACCTGCTTTGAGAAAGTGTTGCCACTGGAGAGGAGACAGCCTGCTAAGGAAAGAGCTCTAGCTTTAAGGTCAGAGTGATCTGGCTTTCAATCTTGGCTCTTACAGTTGCTAGCTGTGTGACCTAGGCCAGGTAACTTAACCTCCCTGAACTTCAGCTACCCAGCATTCTACTTTACATAGCAAAAGCCAAAACATTATTAGTGGTATAAAACCTCTAGATTATATTCAGGTTCTGTGCTTCTGGAAGGTGACACATCTAGGGGGTGGGAAGTGAGAATACGAAGGGGATAAAGGATCTAAGGAAGAAAGAGAGGAGTGAAACAGAGACTTGAGCATTGCTTCTTCTCATTTCAGTTTTTTATGACTTGTAAAAATAATCCTTTCACATTAGTAGAAAGTGAGTCTCAGTGTAGGAGTGACATCCTCAGTTGGAAACTAACATTGGTGGCTACTGGAGAGAGATGATCATCTGTAAGTCTTACAACAGCCCAGTATGGTAAGATGAGTAGCCCACCAGTACAGTTGAGGAAACTAAGCAAAGTTGAGTAACTTGCCCAATATCACACAGCTACTGAGTGGGATTTAAAACCTAGGACCCTCTAGCACCAAATGCTGTTCTCTTCCCACGACACTCTTCTGGACCCATGCAACACTGAGTTCTAGATGTGTTGCAGGTAACTTGGACCCACTTCTCTTCTGCCTTCCCCAGCTTCCTGGCTGCGTGCGGGGTGCCCGCTGAGCTCTCTACCCACTGTAGTGCATAGAGCAGTGGGGCCAGAAGCAGGGCTCCCTGCAAAGTAATGCAGAAAATTTGATACTGGAAAAAGGTTACTAAAGGTAAATCCACTTAAAATGGGTTTCCCAAATTTCACTGTAGTTAAAAAAAAAAAAAAAAGAGAGACTAGGACCTTATCTTGAAAGTGAAACTGAAACTAAAGCAAAATGAAATTAAAATGACCTGCTTCCCTTGGTTTCCTTTTCCTGGGCTCTGCCCACTATAGGGACACTTTACTTCAGTGGGCTCCAGGAGGAAAGCACCATGCTTTTGCCTCCACGCCTGCCACAGTGGACACTGAGTAAGTGCTGGAATCCCCTTATTCAGCGAGGCCTACAGGTCCCTGACTGGGGATGGCCACACTCCTTGGACACCAGGTCTTGACCACTGACCAGTGGTCAGTGTACTTCTCTACTTCCCTGTCTCCACTTCCTCCAGTTCGATTTTTGGTTCAGCCTTTCCCCTTGTATTATTCGGGTCACAGCTGAGAGTTCTGGTGAATCTAAAGAGAAATCTTCCTTGAACACCTTGAAACAAAAGCCTGAAGGTCCTAGAACAATTTCACACTAAACATCTCTTTCATTCAGGGGCGCCTGGGTGGCTCAGTCAGTTAAGTGTCTGCCTTCAGCTCAGGTCATGATCCCGGGGTCCTGGGATGGAGGCCCACGTCAGGCTCCCTGCTCAGCGGGGAGTCTGCTTCTTCCTCTGCCCCCCACCACTTGTGCACACACACTCTCTCTGTCTCAAATAAATAATAAAAATATTTTTTAAAAATCCTTTTCATTCAACAAATAGATATTGCTGATTTGAGCTCTGGGGCTCTGAGGGTCCAACCTAGGCTAGATGCTGGTGATAATGTGGTGAAAAGCCAGGTCCCACCCTGCGCCTTCTGTTAGCTTTCAACTCCCACCTGCCTCATTCCTGGGAGCCACCATCCCTACCCAATGTGTACCCTCTCCAGTGTTATCCTCTGCCATCTTTAGCCAGTCCAGCCTTCCCTGCCACCCCAGTTGCCATTCCAGGTGCTCTGTCCTACATACACACAGTGGGGCATGTGTCTTCTCCCCTCCACCGAATCAGCAGTGGGATGATATTGTCTTAGAATTCTGCTACAGCTTCTCAAATATCCTTCTAAAGTCCTCAGGTGAGACTGTTTCATATTCATTTATTTATTAATTCACTCACCCATCAGTTATATACTGTACCCTGCCTATAAACCACACAGCGTAGGGTTCGAGCATGGACTCTGGAGTGAGAGTGAATTTAAATCCTGGCTCTGCCACTTATTAGCTGGGGGACCTTGGGCAAGTCGCTTTTGTTCTCCTTGCCTCAGTTTACTCATGTATAAAATATGTGATGTTAGTATTACCTACTCCATGGGGTATTAGAAGGGCTAAGTGAGTTAAGTCATGTAAAGTGCTTAGAACAGCACTTTACACAAAGACACGCTCAGTGAGTAAAAGCCACTGTGGCTGTTGAGTGCCAGTGCTGGGCCGGGAGCTAGGATGCAGTGGTAAATGGTACAGAGATAATCACAGAAGCAAATATAAGAAAGAAGGAGTTTGTATCAGGCTTAGTGCCAGGCGCTGGAGTGCATAGTGGGAGGAAACCGCAGACTCACCTGGAGGGCTTGCTAAACACTAAGGCCTGAGTTCCTTTCTGGAGGTTCTTGAGGTGAATCTGTTTTCTTGCCTTTTCCAGCTTCTAGAGGTTGCCCATATTCCTTGGTTAGTATCCCCCTTTCATCTTAAAGCTAACAATGGCTGGTCAAGTCATTTTTATGATGCCATCTCTCTGGTTCTGACTTTTCTGTCTCCCCATTTAAGGATCCCTGTGATTGCATTGGGCCTACCTGGATAAACCAGAATAATTTTTGTTAAAGTCAGCTAACTAGCGATCTTAATTCCATCTGTAACCTTAATTCCCCCTTGCCTTGTAAAGTAAGATATTAACAGTTTTCAGGATTAAGCCATGTATAGCTTTGGGTAGGACCAATATTCTGCCTATCAATACACTTACTTCCAGAGTTTTTAATTTAGTAGGTCTGTGGTGGGGCCCAATAATTTGTATTTGTAACAAGTTCTCAGATGATGCTGATGCTCCTGATTCAGGAGCACACTTTGAGAACCACTGGTGGAGAGACCTTGGTCATTCACATCTTCATCCATTCAGCAAGCTTTTTGGATCTCTAGGTATGAGCCCAATGCTGTACCAGCTGCTGGGAATAGTGCCTGCCAATTAAAAAAAAAAAAGCCCATAATCTAGCAAAGGGGGCAAACAATTTCAGTTTGGTGTGATCTATAGTCTAATAAAGCTATGTGCAAAGTGCTAGCATTCCCAGAGAAGACAGCAACTAACAGGAGCAAGGGTGGGCTTTGTTGATGAGGTGACATTTGAACTGGCCATTAAATAATAAAGAGATTACAGGGCACCTGGGTGGCTCAGTTGGTTAAGTGACTGCCTTCAGCTTAGGTCATGATCCCAGGGTCCTGGGATCGAGCCCTGCATCACATTGGGCTCCCTGCTCAGCAGGGGGCCTGCTTCTCCCTGTCCCACTGCCGCTTCCACTCTTTGTGCTCTCCTGCTCTCTCGTTCTGTCAAATAAATAAATAAAATCTTTTTTTAAAAAAAAGAATAAAGAGGGGCGCCTGGGTGGCTCAGTCGGTTAAGCGGATGCCCTCGGCTCAGGTCATGATCCTGCGGTCCTGGGATCAAGCCTCACGTCCGGCTCCCTGGTCAGCGGAAAGCCTGCTTCTCCCTCTCCCTCTGCCTGCCACTCTGCCTACTTGTGCTCTCTATCTCTCTGTCAAATAAATAAATAAAATCTTAATAAATAAATAAATAAAAGAATAAAGAGATTTCCAGGAAGTTAAGGAGGAGAAGAATATGGCAGCTATTGGGAATAGCATATGAAAAAGAGTGTGTGTTCAAGGAATGAGAAATAATTCTATGTAGTTGGAGTGGATAATGCATGCCGTGGGAGAAGGATTAAAGTTGATAGAAAAATACCATGCCGTATTAAGGAATATAGTGGACCTGTCCAAGTTACCTGCTCAGCCCACTCTGTCTTCTTTGAGAACATTCCTCTCTACAGATCCTGCTGAAGATGTGAACCTCAGGCTGGCCTGTTTTGTCCACATGACCTTACTTGACCCATGAGCTAAGCCAATCAGATTTCCCTTCTCAGTAACTTATTCTAAGAGATATGAAAGTTAGGTAGACTTGGATTAGAATGCCTGTGGGGGGCCATGTGCTTGATGAACTTGTAGGGGGTGGTGAGGAGAGGGTAGGGAGGAGCCTGCAGGAGAACAAAAGGGCGAAGTCACAGCATGAAGCACAGATGAGATACACAAGGCAGCAAGAGAGGAGCCAGCAGACATGGGACATTATCCCAAGCCACTACCCTGCTGCCTGGCTATCCTTCCTTTGTGGAAGTCTGCCCCTCCCTCCCTTCCTTCTTCTCTCCTTCCTTTCTTTAGGATTCCTTCTTCTTTAAAAAAAAAAAAAAAAAACTTTATTAGAGCAGTTTTAGGTCTACAACAAAACTAAATGGAAGGTGCAGAGATTTCCTGTATAGTCCCTGTCCCCGCACAAGCGAAGCCCCTCCCGTTATCATCTCCCAACACCGCTAACCACATGGTACATTTTTTACCAAGGGTGAACTTAAATGGACACATCATAATCACCCAAAGTCCATCCCTGTTTCTCTATAATACATTTCTTTTTACTTTTTATTTATTTTTTAAAGGTTTTATTTATTTGACAAAAAGAGAGAGAGCACAAGCAGGGGGAGCGGGAGAGGGACAAGCAGGCTCTCTGCCGAGCGGGGAGCCCACTGGACGCAGGGCTCGATCCCAGGACCCTGGGATCATGACCTGAGCCGAAGGCAGACACTCACCCGACCGAGCCACCCAGGCGCCCCTACATTTCTTTTTCTTAAATGACATGGAGTACTTTTTTTTTTTTTTTTTGCAGATGATGATTGCCATCTGATGCAAAGTTCAGATTTTGGCAGAAATGAGCCAGTGGCAGTGTATGAGGCAAAGGAGTAACACAGTTTGATTTGTGTTTCACAAAGATCTCTAACTGCAAAAAGGGGTCGGGGGAGCTGGTAACAGGCTCGAGCATTAGGTGGGCAATTGAGGATGAGAGCCTGTACTCAGGGAGCAGCAGGGAGGAGGGGGTGAGTCTGAAGAGATACTTGGGAAGTAGAATTGATAGGTTTTAGTATCCCGAGTTGTTGGGAATCCAGGGTAGAAAGAGTTAAGGACAGTCCTTAGTTTCTAGGTCAGTGAATCTAAAGAGTTGCAAAACTGTTAATAGAGAAAATGAAGACAGGATCATGTTTTTGAAAGAAAGATACTAAGCTCAGTTTCAGACACACTTTACATCTGAGGAGCCCATAGCAACCTCCAGTGGGCATTGACAGTTTATTTCTGGAGGTCAACAGATGAGTTAGAATAAAGATGCGTGTAGGTAGCATCCACTCTTGACTAGATTAGATTCCAGAAAGAATTTAACATGAGGAGGGAGAGAAAGGCGGGAAGGCAGGCAGGAAAGGAAAAGTAAGACAACAGAAACATGGGAAACACTAAGACTGACTGGCCAGAGGAGGAACATAAGCCCGCCAAGGCATCTGAGAATAAATGGTTGGAAGGGGAGAAAGAGAGCCAGAAGAGAATGAGTCGTAGAAGGTAAGGGAGGAGAGTTTTAAGCAAGAGGGAATGACCATATGGATCAAATTGTACATTGGGGTTAAATAAGATGAAAGCTGAAAGTAGTTCATAATATTTGGTATTTGAGGCATTGTCTTTAAAGAGAGCAGTTGCATCAAAATGGAGTAGTGGTAATAAGATGAGGTCATTGGGCATCTGGGTGGCTCAGGTGCATCTGCCTTCAGCTCAGGTCATGATCCCGGGGTCCTGGGATGGAGCCTCGCATCGGGCTCCCTGCTCAGCCAGGAGTTTGCTTCTCTCCCTGCCCCTCAGCCTGCTCATGCTCTCTCTCTCTCTCACTCTTTCTCTCTCTCAAATAAAAAAAATAATATGAGGTCATTTGGGTGAGGAGTGACTGGTTGGTAAGAAAGTAGGCAGAGCAAGAGACAGCTACCCTCTCTAGAAGTTTGGATGTGAAGGAAAAGAGACATCTGAGCAGAAGCTTAAGGATGAAGAGAAAGCCCACTGATTGCAAAACTGATCTGCTGCCTCATCCCTCCCTGACTCCACACCCTTTGCTATGCAACTCTGCAGCTCCTGCCATCAAGAAGTAGGGTCCATTTCCTTGTTCCCGGGCTGGCCATGCGACTTGCTTTTTTACCAGTACAGTGAAGCGGAAGTGATAGTGTACCAGTTCCGAAGGCCTTGTGTACTTCTGCCCTGTCTCACTCGAAATCCCGCCTGGCTACCAGGAGGACAAGCCCATGTTCACTCCCTGGGTAAGTGATCAGTGGCCCCTCCACCCACTCCACCATAACTAATGACCCGCTGATTGCCAGGCACGTGAGTGAGATCGTCCTTGACCGCCCCGCCCCAGCTGACCCGCCAGCTGACCGCATAATTCATGAGGATGTGCAGTCAGTATTTCAGGCCCAGTCCAAGGCGGGGGAGCCTGGCCCAGCTCAACAGAATCGCCCAGGTGACTCACTAACCTGTGAGGAATAAAAATGCTTGTTGCTTCAAGCCATTGTTTCGGGGCACTTTGTTACACATCGACAGCTAATTGATTCGAGAGATTATTGGGAGGTTTTCATTATCTTGCTTTGGCATGGGGGAGATTTGAATATATCTGCCCGTTGTAGGGGAAAAGACAGGTTTGAGATTCAAGAAAGGGAATAAGTAAAAGGAGGAGGGGACGTGACCAAAAGCTCAGGTGGAAGATTAGCCTGGGAAAAGGCAGAGACTGCCTTTGTTTCTGAGATACGAGAAGGAAGTGGGGATGGAAGGCGGTGTCCTGGGCTGAAATTCTTTGCGTCACTTGGGCTTCAGCTAGGTGGCAGCTAGGGGGTGGCATCTCCGGACATGCTCGCAGTTTATATCCAACCAAAAATTAACATCCCAAACTCACACGTTTCCACATCTGTCAAAGCTAAAAGGGGCGTCTGAGACAGATTTCCTTTTGTTTTCACTGGCGTGTCAAATGCTGCAGTGACAGCAAAGGAATAATCTTCAGTTTGTGTATAATGAGGTCTGAAATTTCCGTCTCCACACATTGATCATGAATCTTATTTCACTAGATAAACTGACAGCAGAGTCTCAGGTACTTAAACAAAATTTTGAAAAAAATCAACACAACCACCCACATCTATGATTTTTTTTCCTGCTGTCACTTTTATGGTTCAGTTATTTTGTCTATATGCACTCATTTCCAGTTTTGTCTGGATTTCTCAACAGCCAAATCATTCCTTAATCCTAGACATATACTCCTCTATCCTGGAAAATGATTTAGTAGAAAGACAGCTGGCTTGGGAGGCACAAAAACGGAGTTCTAGTCTTGACTCTGCTGTTAACTAGCAAACTTATCCAAGCTAAGTCACTGAACCTGTTTCCTTATCTGAAAAATATATTCCTCCAACAGACATTTATTGGTATCAGGCACTGTTGTGAGTGCTTAGGATACATCAGTGAAGAAAACACTGATGCCCTCAGGAGCTCACATTCTGGAGGAGTCAGACAATGAGAAATAAATGCAATAAACAGGATAATTATATCATATGATAGATGGTGAAAAGTGTTATGGAAAAAATTAAAAATAAAGTGGAGGTTGGGGCTGGAAGGAACTAAAACAGTTACCATGAAGTTATCCGGGGGAAGAATGTTTCAGGCAAAGTCCCTGAGTATTTCCTGTCTTTCTTGTCCTGCATACTCCATTTCTCCTTACTAACCTCAGAGGAGGTTTATAATGCATATAACCTATAGGCCAGTCTTCCATTACTACTCCATACATTTCTTTGAATAGCCAACAAATGACCATCCATTCACTTTGAACTAGTCCCATTGGCATTAGGTACAAGAGCCTCTCATCTTGCATTTACTTTCTGGGGCCTCTTGTGGTATTTCCCTGCCATCCAAAAGGCTAGATCTGTATGTATTATGCCAAACATCACGTGGGCATTTCCTCCCAGCTCTGCACAGGACAGTGAAGCCAGCAAAGGGATCTTTAAAAAAGACATGGCTCTTGATAAAGTACCTACCATTTCCAAATGCCATTTATGTGCCAAGTAGCTTTACATTCTTTATTTCCCCTAATCCTCAGCACACTTCCATCTTTCTCTGAGGTTAGCATTATTCCCACTTTACCGGTAATGAAACGGTGGTTCAGAGAATTTTGAAAACTTACTGTGGCCACACAGCTGCTAAGTCCCATGGTTAGAATTTGCTTCTCAAGCACACTTTCCATCAGCTGTACTGCACAGCTTCCTTTCTTCCTAAGTGTCCTTTAACCCAGCTGGAAAACCAGATATACATGTATGAGACAAGAGGGCGGTTTTAAGGCCTGTAGCATGGTGGTGAAGAGCTTGGCTCTGCAGTCAGACAACCTGAGGTCAAACTCCAGTTCTGCCGTGTTATAACTGTGTGATCAGGGGCTAGTTACTTAACTTTTCTGAGCCTCCCTTTCCTCATTTGTAAATATGCATAACATGAGTCCCCGTCTCATAAAGTTGTGTGTGTGTGTGGGGGGGGGACTCAATGAAATAATTCACATAAAGTCCTTAGCATAGTATCTCTTACATAACTCTAACATAGGTTAACAATTATTCTCATATATTATTGATGGATTTTTTTTAAAAAAGCACATGTATATATTAAAATATCTCTAGAAGGCTCAGGAACTGGAGACTAACTTTTCACTTTGAGTATTTGTACAATGTATACATTTAAATGTTGGGCCAATGATATTACTTATTCAAGAAAACAACCTGACAACTAGACAGCTTTAAAGAAATACCATTATTATCATCATTGTAAGGAATTGGGAGTAATAATAATTATTCCATAATTTATTTGGATAGACAGATTTGGAGGAGGTTTTTTGAAGGAGATGTTTGAGCAGGGCCTCGAAGTGCAGGTATAGCATTTTGATGACAGAATAACGAACTGAGAGGCATTTTACGTGAAAGATTCTTGCAGGGCAGAGCATACAGGCAGGAAAGAGTAGCCAGCGAATGCAGTTCCATTCAGTGATAATTGTTTGGTGCTGTGGTAACAACTAATACAGGTGATAGTGTTTTTCAGATACCTGTAATAGAAAAGAGAGGGTGTAAGTGAAAAATTGCCTAAACACTCCACTCAAACACAAAAATTGAGAAAGATTGCTGGTTGAGGCCGATTCCATGAGCCCTGCTGCCAGAATTATTCCGGTTCATCAATCCAAATTGAGCTGGAGGCACCTTTGACATCCCCCTCTCTCTGCCTGCAGGTCAGCTGTCTCCAATCCTGAGGTCATCACTCATCAAGAGGGGATAATCCCAAGGACAGCAGGACCTGCTTCATCACTTGGATTTAGGAGTGAGAAACCCATCAGGCAACTAAACAGTAACAATGACCCACCATTAAACACACTGAGAGAAGTGCATGATGAGGAGATTGTACGAGAAGAATCCCGGAGCTCTTGCTGACAACGCCTATGGAGACGCTGACCACTGTGAGCTCTGCCCATTGAACTGCAGTAAAAAATCTCCCCCTCCCCAGAGATGCTTGGATGCAGGCACAATATCAGTTCAGACAATGGTCTGTGTGTGGACTTAGAGTGGAAAGAATTTGGACTGTGGGGTAAACAGACCTGGGTCTGAACTGTTATTCTGCCACTTCCGTGTAGTATGTTTTAGCAGCATTAAAAAAAAAAAAAATCTCTCTCGGCCTCTGTTTTCTTGTCTGCAAAATGGATCAAATACCTCCACAGAGGTCTTTTAAAAGGACCAAATGTAACAGTGTTTGAAAAGCACAAGCTAGGTACTTCTCTTTATGGAAGAAGAGCAAGATGGGGGGCCCAAAAAAGGAACTGGCACATACACAAAACTTTTCTCAGAATTATTTTTTGTCCTAGGTACTCTACCTCAGAATGTATGCTTATTTCTTTAGTTTAGCTACCAGGGAAAAAGAGACAGAGAAAAATGGAGAAAGGCAGGAAGTCAGATTCTGGCTCTTACACAAGAAAATTCACTCTACATAATCTTCAGACAATGTTGCTGTCCTTCCTCAAACACTGGGCCACAGGCATTATGCCAGAGAAGTCAGCAGCCTGGAAGATATTTTAAACTGATTCTGGGGCTGAACGACAACCCATTTGCTCCATATGCCACTGACACGTTAATCTAGGCAAGGCTGCTAGGCACCTGGGGACATCCATGCTAAAATGCCATTTGGGGAGGACACGCCGAGTCCAGTGGCAGAAGTTCACCAGTGCAAAGTGGGAGGGCAACCGAGAAGATAGAAGTGGCAAGGAGGAGTGAGAAGTGTGGTGTCTAAGCATTGGAAGATTTTCTGAGTTTCAGACGCTTCATTTTGCTTCTGTGAGAGCTGCAGATTCAACAAAACATCAAAACCGGGTATTTACTGGCTGGACAAATGAGTATCTGCTACTTTTTGCACCCATTATACCACGTGGCCACGCTTCTATCCGCTGGCAAATACTGGGCGATGCTCTAGTCCACTAGAATGAACTCCTTTATCCCTCCTGTTCGGTCATAAAAAGCAAGTGGCTGCTGAGCGACTATAGTAGATGCCCCAGTGTCAGACTTTCCAGGATCCAATTTGGTGGGAGTACTCTGGGCCTTTGGTCTCCCTCTTCCCTTTGCCCAGCCCTGTTTTTTGGTTACTCTGAGCAGTAATGAGCTTCTCCACCCCAGCATGAGGACAGGCTCACAGCTAGCACATGAAAAAGGCTGAGCTCGTGTGGGGCAACTACTCTATTTCATGGGCAGATCACACATCTGTTTTTTCCCTTTTTCTGCAATGCAACTACACTAATGATTTTTTTTTAAGTAGAAATAAGGCAGTACTGTGGCTTTCTGAGAAGAAAGTCACACTGCAGGAAAACTGCAACAGACATCATAAAAGGAGCTGGAATGAAATGCCCACCCACTCTTGCCATTGGAGCAAATGATTTCCAAGAGCAAAAGAATCATTCTTAGGGGATCTTAATAAACAAATAGAATCACCGCCCTAATTATTTTCTTTCAGGCAAATAAAACTTTTAAAAATCAGCTCTTCCTGTTCATGTTAGCTATTTTGCATAAACAGAAGAATCTGAAAGGTTATAAAAATAAGATTAGGCTACCCAAGAACGTGGGAGTTCCCCAAAGTTCTCTATGTGTGAGTAGTTCAGAGTTGTCATTGTTGAGGATGGGCTGTAGAATCAGCCCATGATTCAAGGCCAGAGCTCTGTCCCTTATTCCCTAATGACCACTGGCAACTTTCTCCAAACCCCCCAACAAGTCTCTGTTTTTTTGTCTGTAAACTTGCACAGAGTAACCCCAACTTCCAGGGCTCTTATGAGAATTCAAAGAGAAGATCTGTGTGTGGTGAGGAGCATACTTTCTGGCATGTGGTCAGGGGATCTATGTTAACATTATAGACCTGATCTTGGGAACTACATGTCACTTATGTTTTTCAATGGAGAGACGTTATTTCTATGAGTTCTTAGGAAAGACCAGATAGATGTTTTAATCACAAAATAATAAGCATTTTCTGAACCTTTACCACTAGGCCCACTGGGCTGTGTTATGCATTATAAAAGATTTATAAGAAGTAGAAGAGTTGTTTTTTTGCTTAAGAGTGTTTAAACCACTGAAGAACAGTAACACCAATCTTATCCAAAACCCAATGTTTGGCAACTCCATCTTAAATGGGATCCATCTTTAAACCCATCTTTTTTTTTTTTTAAGATTTTATTTATTTATTTGACAGAAACAGAGCGAGAGAGGGAACACAAGCAGGGGGAGTGGGAGAGGGAGAAGCAGACTCCCAATTAAGCAAGGAGTCCAAGTGGGGCTGGATCCCAGGACCCTGGGATCATGACCTGAGCCGAAGGCAGATGCTCAACTACTGAGCCACCCAGGCGCCCCTTTAAGCCCATCTTAAATGAGATCCTAAACACCTTACTGCAATAGTCCTTACCTGGTCTCCTTGCACCCATCCTTGACTCGCTACAGCCAATTCACAGAGCACTAGCATCTTTTCAAAATTTGGTGATGGTTCCCTATTTTACAAAGAATGAAATCCACAGTCTTCACTTAAGTGCCCTTCATGGTCTGGGCTCCAGTTACCTTCCAGAGCATATCTCTTATTACTCTCTCCTTTGTTCACACCCCTTCATCTGTACCAGACTCCTCAAATGCACCAAATGTGCTCCTGCTTCAGAACCTCTGGACTTGCTAATGTCTCTCTCTGGAATGTTCTTCCCCACGTACCCATATGGCTTGCTCTTCTACTTTATTTAAGTTTCTTTTCAAATGTCACATAATCAGAGAAAGCTTCCCTGACCACTCTTTTTAAAATAATCACCCCACCCTGCTCTTCTCTATGCCCTATTGTGCTTTATTTTTCTTCACAGAGCCTTCAAGACTTGACAAAAGAAGCCTGGCTGGTTCAGTCAGTGGAGCATGCAACTCTTGATCTCGGGGTCGTGAGTTCAGGCCCCATGTTGGGCACAGAGCTTACTTAAAAAGGGGGGGGTAGGGAAGGTTAATGTAATGAGCTCCAATCCCCACTGCTTCAACTGGTCCCAAGACTGTAATTGATATTTATCATCTTCATCTTCTACTCATTGTAGATTTCCCTCACCCTTTGCCCACACTTCAGCTGGTCTAGGTTGCTTTCTAGGTGGGGTGACTTAGATCTGCATCCCCAAGGGGTCTGAGTTGCTTTCACCCTTTTGGACTGAGGTGGCTGCAGTTCCAGTTCCCGTTCCAGTTATCAGGTATGGTGTTACCTCCAAAAGATGGTTCACTGAGTCCCTGGGTCCTAGATCATATTCTTTTCTGCCCTACTACCTCAATTGTATAGTAGGAACCCTAGTTTCTCATAGTAATCAAGTCAATTGTCCTTAATAAAATTTCACAAGTGCATCATTGAGAGTGATAGTGAAAAGAACCAATCTGATTTCTACCCACTGATTCCTGGACCCATATATTCTAGCTTTAGAGAATCAGCACCATTGGTTCTGTATATACGGCATGCTGGAGGATGCAGTCCAACACTATAGGGTATTATGCTCAAGCTAGCACCTTAAATGCAGCTTTAATAGGCCATTCCATTATTCTACTAGCTGGCTATCTCTGGATGATCAAGTATATTGCAAGACAGTCTCATAGTCATGTGTCCATTGTCACGCACTCTTTTACTATCAAATGGGTCCCTTAGTCTGAGGCAATGTGTGGGATCCCATACCGGCAAAGAAGGCATTCTCTAAGTCCTCAGGTAGTAGTATTGGCAGCAGCACTGTGGTTAAGGGAGGCAAAGCCATATCCAAAGGAGGTGCAAATTCCAGTAATGGAATTGGGTCTGCTGGAATCAGCTTGCCAAGTAATTGACTAATCTCCTTGAGGATGGGGCGTTCTCTGTGCCAGTGTGTGCTGCTGACAGGATGGATATTCAGCCATGGCAGGAACTATATTAGTCTTGGTGAAAGAGAGTTGATACTGTTGTGTGTCCACACTTCATCTCTCTCCCTGTCATTATGGCCATGTCATTCATGAACCCACTGCACAGTACTGGAGTGGGCATGGGGAGAGGCTCATTGACATCCAGAAGACAGGTCATCCTCTCTACTTGGTTGTTGATGTTGTTGATGTTCTCTTGCCTACTGCCTCCTACAAGACAGTTACCTTTGTTGTGTTGTAGTATAGCACATGATTAAATAAACATACTTTGGAGAGACTGAGCTGCTTTGAATCCTAGCTCTACTGCTTGGTCAAGTTCCTTAACCTCTTAATCTGTGCTTTCTTCATCAGTTAAGTGGACGTAGTAACAGTACCTACTTCATAGATTTGTATGAGGATTAAACTAATTAATTTACATAAAATACTTAAAATGGACCTGGCTCTTAATAAGCCCCAATAAATATTAGTTATTGTTATTAGGGAAAGTGCAAATAATGGCTTTAACAGCCTAAGGAAACCTAACTAGAACAAAATTAGAAGAATAGGAAGCATTGAGCAGTTAGGATAAAACAAAAAAACATACTTCCGTGCAAAAAGTTCAGAACAAGTATTCAGTCGTGTTCTGCAAAAAGTGCCCTGAGGTATCTGAAGCATCTCAGAGATATTCACTCAGCGTAAATTCCTTTTAGCCTCAGAGCGAAGAAAACCAATGGAACAATAGTGGCTATGTTGACATGATCAGAAAAAGCAGTGGCAAAAAATCCTGTTGGTCGGCTCATCTCCTTTTAGAATTATACCCACATATGGGTTGCTTGGGCCTTTTCTCATTTCTCCAGTGTACGGCTGGATTAACCAGGCAAATGCAATCTGCCGCCGCATCAGAGGAAGAATATTTCCATGCACAAAGGGCTACAGCTGTCACTGACCACCCCCATGCATCCTGAGAAAAGTATGGTTTGCAGCAGCCAAGTTTTTTGGGGAAAAGTACTCCTCTTCCTACCTGAGCTGCCTACCAGGTTCCCTTTATACTGATTGTGCTGTGTATGAATAGAACAGTGTGTTGAAGATTCCAGGCACTGAATGGGGTTGAGAGAATATCAGAGCATTTCGAGGTTGGTTTGACAAGATATCCAAAATATCATGAAGAGTTTCCTTTTTGGTCTTCTGCCTTCAAGGTGCACTCTCTCCAATGCTGAAGTTCTTTGTGAATCTGCATTGGCAATTAGCGTGAAGACATAAA